GTTTAAGGTTTGGGAATGAGGTCGTCCTATTAGAAACTAGAAAATACCCATAAAGGAAGCTTTACTAACAGGAAGAGAAACAGTCGCATTTCCTTGATTTTAAAAAAGAACAGGGGAAATGCTTATTTCTTCCTAAGAAGGCTTTTTGCCAAGTCAAAATCACCAGGATTTTCATTATAATAGCCATATGCTCCCAAGATTGCTTTTCTGGACCCAGTGATTGTCTCTTAGTTCCCTGCAGGAAAAGCTGGAAAAGGTGGACACAGATACTGATGTGGCGCTTCCTCAGAAAACAGAAAGGGAAGAGCAAGTTGATGAGAACACAGGATAACATAAATTCCGTGACTAGACGCATGTGACAGACACAGCCCCACAGGCAGGAAATGTGGTGCGGGTGTTTTTTTAGTTAGAGAAAGGAAAGAAAATGGGATTCTAAAATTCATAAAAAGAACCTGGAAGATAATAGTCCCTGCTGAAATTGAAGATTTGGGTGTCTTGCAAAAGGTGTGTAGAGAGAATAGACCCAGAGAGGGAATACAAGAAAAGATCTGGGGGGTGCGTGGGTGGGTGGATTTTTTTTTTCTCTCTCTCTTCTCATCTTTGCCTGTAAAGATCCATTCTGAGTTAGGAGTGCAGAATCATTTGTATTCTTGCTTGGAGATAACGATCTCTATTGCACTTCAGCTTCTGCGATCTGGAGGACACAAGCCACAGAAATTCTATTACCATAGTCCCCGCTTCAGTGATAGAGACGGAATGAAGGGGACAACTGGTATTGTTAATAGAGGGAGTAGGTTCCTAAATCTTAGTACAAATCATATTACATTTTTTAGCAGAGACATAAGTTCAAAAGTAGAGTATTTTGATATTTGGATGATGATGGCTACTTTCTATCCTTCAAAAACTTAGGAGGGGTGGAAAAGATTGAAGCCATAGATTATTCTTAGAATTGACAGACGGAGAAGCTGAACTCTTGCTCCCTAGCAAGGACCGGAGCTGACAGAGAATCAGAGAGTGAACTGGCTGGTTGTGAAGGAGTATTTTCCAACATACCTTTATTTGATTTCTTCTTTACTTTTTAGAAGCATTTCCTGTACTTTAATCTTCTGATTCTGAATGTTCGAATTTTGTGTGTGTTCACTGCTAAACAGCCAAGAGACCCAACTCATAACAGGAAAGACTTTTTTTCTGCAGAATCTTACACCGTGTTTCTTCTCGGAGACTGAAACCCTCAGACATCATCTCTCCTTGAACAATGAAAGTGAGGCTCCTTGCTGCTGGGATGTTTCCAACATAACTGTTTTGGGAGGGTTAAGTAAAATGATGCTATAAGCTCCCTGATTAAATACATTCACCAGGATCCCCAGAAATGACGGAAATTCATACTCAGCCAGATTTGTCTGCCATAAAATATACACACTGATGTGTAATGTCATTTTCTTTCTATGGAATACTTTGCCACGAGCACTTTGACAGAAGCTTCTAAAGCAAACCCTTACACTAAGGTAACGTCCTAGATGAAGAGGGGATCTGCTGTTGGCGATAGGAGTGCGTAGGGGTGACCTTCAGACTCGATGTGTTCAGCGTCTACCTTCATGCATACCTCTCTGAGAGGCTAGAATGACGGAACTCAGCTATTCCTTGTGCCTATCAGGACTGCAATTTGCATCCCTTCCCTTCATTTCAAGAAAAGCAACTCTGCACTAGTATTCTTGACATCTACCCACTGAGGTAGAGATTATTTTTTGTTGTTGTTGCTAGTTTCCATTTCTACCCCTAGTTTTCCTCTGGGGAGCCATCCTACTATGAATCTCAGTCTATGTGGAATTGTTGATATCGGCCTGAGCTACAGAGATATGCATGCAACTCAAACCTGGTGAAGCAGAATACTCCATTCTCCCAGCCAAGTGCTTAGGTCCGGGATGGCCAAGGGTCCCAATCAGAACCAACATGATGGAATCTTTGGACACTTGCAGGGCCTGTTGAAAGATGTATTATCTTTTTCCCCTTGCCTTGAAGGTGTGGGAATGCAAGCCTAGAGCTGTTGGCAGCCACTTTGTCATCACGAGGGGTGACTGACTGAGCATGGCATCAACACACGGGAATCTAGTGGCATAATACATTCTTATGAAGAACTGAAAGAATTTTCAGAATTAGCTGGTATGCTAACACAGGTCTGCCAATCTGGTTCTTAGCTTCTCATTGTCTCTGCCCCTGCTGCTCTATTGAGACCTTACTCCCTTTTTCATGTCTTATGGCTTCTGCTTACTCATGGCTTTTAATTACTGCTTTCCCTTTATGTGTGTCTTGGCTTCTGTGCTTCTCTACTATCTGGGTCCTATTGTGTGTTTTTCCTAATCAACATAATCAAGTAAGAAGGTCTAGTTGAGTTAGTTATTCACTGCCCAGTACAGAATGCTCCTGTTGGGAAAATATAAACTTTTATTTAATACATACACACATACACACACACACATTATAGGGGAGGAAAAACTTCTACCCTCTTAGATTCTGTGACTGGGCTTGAGAATTAAACTAACACACAGCAAATTAGCAGGAGAAAAGCATGGGTTTTATATAATATATTTCTTTTTTTTAAGATTTTATTTATTTATTTGACACAGAGAGAGACACCGAGAGAGGGAACACAAGCAGGGGGAGTGGGAGAGGGAGAAGCAGGCTTCCCACGGAGCAGGGAGCCTGATGCGGGGCTCGATCCCAGGACCCTGGGACCATGACCTGAGCCGAAAGCAGATGCCCAATGACTGAGCCACCCAGGCACCCCTATTTAATATTTTTATGTGTATGTGGGAATCTTCACAAGGAAAGTTAAAAACCTAAGAAATTATTGGGCTGCAAGCTTATATATCTTTTGAAACAAAGAACAACAAATTGTGGGGAGGTAACAGGACAAGGATGCGTGGGCTGGGGCAGTAAATTGTGGGATGGTCTTGAGGAAATCCACATGGGAGCTAATGGAAGATAAGAGTTGTTTTAGTAAGTGGTTTGTACAGATCCATTTTGGTGTCAACTCCGAGTCTCCAGTGATAAGAATGTTCTTCTCTTCCTGGTTCAGGGAGGACACACTTCTCATGGGAAATCTCATGACCTGCTTTTAGGTAGAAAAGAGGAAGACAGAGAGCCCTTCTTCCATCTGTGGTTTCTCAAGTGCCTTCTGCTCAAAATAATCAATATGCCAAAGTGGCAGTTTTGGGGGCTAGCATGTTCTGAAGTCCTTCAATACTTTTTTATAATATACAAGTAGAATCTATATTTTAAAATTATTTATTGATCACCTACTATGTGCTAGGCATTGTTCTATGCATGTTAAACTCATATTCACTCGTTTTATTCTCATTGAAACCCACCGTATAGCTAGTAAACAGAGGAGCAGTATTCCAATCTCCAGACTCTGTGTTATTAATTTTTCCTCTATAATGACCTGGGCTTCCTTGGTCACGACATGTCACAGGTCATTAACTCCCTCTGTGCCCAATCTATATATGAGGGGTCCTTTGTGTCAGGGGCCAGACGTGGGCAGATCACCTCTGCCAAGTGTGGCATGGTGGCCAACAGGTAGGACAGGACCTCTGTCCTCCTGGGGCTCTTCCCCAGCATTTGTGAGGAAAACACATAACTTCAAGTAATAGTTTCCTCTTTCAACAGGAGTGCTTGGTCAAACAAATCCTTCCTCACAAGGACTGGGGGCACATTGCAAGCCTCTTCTGCTCCCCTCGTTCCTCCCTACTGTGGCCAACCTGCTCACACTCCCCTTTCCGTGTGGATCACATCCATCTTCTTCATGGCACTTATCACGAAGCTGATTAATATCTACTTTCCTGTGTATGTCTCTCGCTAACGTTTATCTTCTCCATTTCCACCAGGGCTGAAAATGTAATGTTTCATCACTGTTGAATCATCAGCAGATTTTGGCTGTAGTGAGCCATTTCATAAATGAGCAAAGAAACAAATGAACGAATGAATCCCTTATCTGGATTTCTCCTTTAGGGGAAGAAAGTTCTGAAAGAGAGGTGAAAGGGTGATGCTCAAGAACGAAAACAAGTGTTCTAGGAAGGCAAGGAAGATGACTATCTACAGTGCTATATAAACTATGGCAGCCCAATCAAGTCGGATAGTATCTCCAGTTAATATTGCATGAAACAGATGCTGTACAGATAAGGTGACCCTGTGTCCCAGTTTGCTTGGAACAGTCCTGATTTGTCTCTGCTGATCTGACATCCTGTCTGAGATAACGTGATTAAATGTCAATCCTTGATGACCTGTCTCCCTTTTCCTGGCTCCTTCCAGGCCTAAAGGAACTTATACCTCTCTTTCAAGGGGAACATGCGTGTGGGTTGGGCTTGCTGACAACACCAAGGGGGCTCAGCCCTGGTCCCCTGACTCTCAGCCTCCGGTGGTTGGGGGAGAAACACCCCAACTTGCCACCCATGATGACGACTTCATGTGCCAGCCAAATGTGTCACAGACACAGCCATGTGCTTCAACATGTACAAAGGTGCAGCTGCAAATGGGGGAATCCGAGGAAAATAAGGGAACATTATAGGTTAGGAGGATGTGAAATATCTGCAGGAAATAGCATGTCATTTCATCCTCAAAAGTATGAATTGTATGGACACCTTTTCTGGAAACCTCGGCTTTTCCTATTTTTAATCTCATTTTCCCTTTATATTTTTTGTCTTTTTTTTATTATTATGTTATGTTAATCACCATACATTACATCATTAGTTTTTGATGTAGTGTTCCATGATTCACTGTTTGCATATAACACCATGCAGAACGTGCTCCATGCAGAACGTGCCCTCTTTAATACCCATCACCAGGCTAACCCATCCCCCCACCCCCTCCCCTCTAGAACCCTCCGTTTGTTTCTCAGAGTCCCTTCATATTTTTTGTAGATATTTGTGGTTCTGAAATTTTTATTTACAAAAGGCCTGTTAAACACTCAGATTCCAGGACTCACATGTAGATATTAAGATTCATTAGGCCGAAGGTGGGACCCAGGAATCTGCATTTTCAACAGGTTTGCTCAAAGATCCTGCCACAAGTGGTCTACCGAACACACTTGGAGAAAAGCACAGATCTGCACAGGGGGGCAGTGCATTCCCAATGGCGAGGCGTGCTGGTAGAAAGAATTTCGGGTCTGGCTGAGGATCCCGGTACCCTAGGGAGAGGAAAGATGCAAACCAAATTTTAGTCAGCTTCCTGAACCTTCTCCTGGGCTCATCTGTGCAATGCCTTGTAAAATACAGGTTTAGCAAGAACCCTGCTAAGTCAGTTCAGGAAGAGTCCTCCATCCTCCCCAGCTGCTCACACTCAATACATGATTGAGTTCCTCCTCCTCACCCCGCAGGCCTATCTTCAGCAAAGATCCTGTAAGGCTGGTTTAGCCTGACTCCCTCTCACTCTTGATGTTTCCTTTTAGAAACTTTCCATCCGTTGACAGCACCCTGCTCCTAGACTCTAAACTTCCACTTGCCCCTGCTGCATTTGGAATTACATCTAGTTCTGTACTGATCTCTCTCTTCTCCTATTGTCCTAGTCCTGAATAAAATCTGTTTTTACTGTTTAACTACTGTCCAGCTCTGTTTTTTCTTCAACAAGGCTGATATTTACATGGAGATACTGTGGACAAGATGGGTATGTTTCATCTCAACAGGTTGGAAATAGAAAACTTGATTGTGGGTTTAAATATGTAAATACACATTATAGATTTTCTTTTAGAGGGTACTTTTTTTTTTTTGTCTGAGCATCTGAGAACATCCTGCTTAAAAAAAAAAAGAAAGAAAATCAACCCATCTGCTGTGTTTGCTATGCACAAAAGAAAATGTTCCGAGTTGAGTTGAATTTCACTAAAGTCATTGTACCCAATTGGTGTTCAACAATAATAGCTCCAAAATCTACATCGTTCCTTTCAAAAAAGACCCGTGTGACGTATTTCTCGCGGTGCCCAGATGGAGCAAGGTGAAGCGAGGGACACAGTCCCTAGAGCCAGGTGCCACTCAGGCTCGCCACGTGCTAGCACAGATTCAGACAGTGTGGCTGGCCACCCAGAATCAAAACGCACACGCACGCACGGCCAGTGTTCGAGAACCCTGCGACACATTTCTTCCTTAGTAGAAGATGAAAGCAACCTGAACAGTGGCATTTGTTAAATGTCAACATTTGAAAAGAACAACAAAGACAGAGTTCCGTGAAATTCGTAAAGTTCTGGAAGTAGCCGTAAGGTACCCCAGAAAAAAAAAGCCCTTTATTGGAAGGGAGAACCTTAGGTTTGAGTCCTCTCTCCATTTACTGGGTGGGTGAAAATGTCAATTCTTTGAAGGCAAAAGACGGAGAGTAGAATTATGTGTTGTGCTTGATTGTCTCATGTCTTCAGAATTTTGTCCGTGATGGGGGGTTGTCAAGAGCTACTGTATATCATTGTCCCACAGCGACAAGTTAAACCCCATGGGGGACCATTTACAAAAGCAGCTGATCCGAGCACAGAACTCTGGGTCTGGGGTCCCTGAGTCCCCCAGTGGGGTGGGGATGGAGCGAGGGAAGGAGTAATTTACATGTTGAAGATGCCTAAGCGCTTCTGGGCGTGGGTCTTGGGGTCTGAATCCCTGGGTTTGAATTCTTGGGTCTTGTGGTTTCTAGCTGGGTCACCTTCGGCAAGCAACTTAGGCTCTGACTCTCTACATCTCTATAAAATGGTGAATCATCATATTTACCTCTTGGGATTGTTGTTAAGGTTTAGAAATCGCTTCTAAACGAAAAGTGCTTGATAGGCATTAACACTCAGCACATTCTAAATGGTACTAGGATGATCCCCCTCAATGAGACACAAGGTGAAAATCAACAGCATGACATGAACTTCGTTAACTCAAAACTTCTCGCTTAGCATATTCTGGAAAATTCTCTTCTGATTTTTGAGGCTTTTAGAATTATAATCGAGATGCCCACTGCTGACCCCTCTTTTAAACCTTTTCTTTCTAATCCTTTGTTAAGAGAGTGGATTCAATGAACTTCTCTCTATGGCAGATTTTTTAAAGAACTTTTTGAAATACAGTTGTTTCAGTGACAGTTACTGTAGAGAAAAAAAATAAAAGGAGTGGGGTGGAGTTGGGTAGGGAGGGTTTCCAGGGTCAAAGAAAGTTTATGGACACTCTAGATTAATTTTTTTTTTTTTTCTGAAGAACTTTTCAGAGATTCTTAGTTATATAATAAATACTTATTTAGTGCTTTTAAATAAGTGCCTGGCCCTGTTGTGTTTTATAAACAGTAACATACTAATCCTATCAGGTAGAAGATATTACCCTCATTTTACCAATAAGAAAACAGGTTAAGTACATAGCCTGAGGTCTCACAGCTAAGAAAGGGTGAGCTGATATTCTGGTCCCTGGCCTCTGCTTTGAACCCCTTGCCCAGGCTAATAGGCAGTTAGAAGCTCCCAGAGGAAGCCTGACCCTCCAGCTCTGTGGTTTCCTCTACTTATTTCTCCAGAAACCACTTTTTTTGCAGAACATCTATAAGACTAGTTTTCTCCATAATTCACAAATTCATTGACCTCAATAGGGAAAGGGAATTTACATTTACTGACCAGCTGCTATATGCCAGGGATAGTGTTGGGGTTTTGCTCCCCATAGTGAGAGGTAGGCAGGACACTGGAGATCTTTCACCGGATAACGTGGGGCTGTCTTTGGATTTGATTAACAAAGCCTCTACGATATGCTGTAGCTATGTAGCTCATCCTAGCTCCTGGATTTTCCTAGCTACTGGACACAACTATTTATGCCATCAGCCAGAAGGAAACAAACCAGGTGTTGGGATTCTAAACAACAATCTCAAATTAGATCACAAATCATTTCCGAAAGAGCTAAGCTCACCGTTGAGCGGAAGGTGTTTGCATTAATAGACACCCCAGGTTCCCACCTTCTCCAGAGATCATCCATCTGCCAGTTCTGGCTGCTCAATCACCTCAGGCCTTTTTCTCTGAAATGCTCCCACTGCTTGGCAAAGTGATGCTAACTGTTCTAGAAGCCGTCTCTGTATTTATAAAGAGACCTTGTTATCTGTTAGGTGGGAATTTTAATCCAAAGCATAAGACAGAGTAAAGTCAAAGACAGAAATAACATTGGAGAGTTACCAAATTCTTCAGAAAGTTAAAAAAAAAAAAAAGAAGGCCCATACAGTTTAAATTTAATAAAATGTTCTTTCATAGTCACCTTACAAGTTATAAAATATGGAGGCATCTCTGAATACAGGGTTTGCTTGATTAGAGATTACCAAGGCTGAACATAAAGGCAGAAAAATGGAAAAATGTTCCCTGCCTCTACTCCCTATTATTCTTCCAAACCTACATGACAACAAAGCCACCCTTCTCTCGGCAAATAAATTATTTTTAGAACTAATTTGTGCCTTGTCCCTTCTCTTTCGTTCAGATGTGGCTGCTAATGATGATGAGCAAATATATCTTCAAATATTCCTAAATTTCTATGTATCCTTTATTCATCTCTTTAAAAATAATTCAGATAGATGTTTGCGTGTTCTGTTTTTAGGTAATGAAGGAGGGTGGCTTTTAAATGCGATTGGATTGAACTGCAATTTTTATACCCTAGCTGGTGTTGCCTTACCAGCTTTTAAGGCATTCCTAAGCAATGGTGAAAAACAAACCAACAAACCAACAACAGCAACAGCAAGTCCTGAAGATTTAAAAAACAAAAACAAAACCAGAAAGCTAAAGTGTCCTAGAATGTTCTTGGAAAATTTTCCCCTTTAAGAAATACTTTGCAATTGCTAATATGTCAAGAATGAGTAGAGGCAAATTTTCCGTAGAGCTGTATAACTCCAGGAAAATGTTTTTATAAGAAAAAAAAAGAATTAGTTATCCAGAACCGCAAGGCTTTGATATTTGATACCAAACTTGGTGTTGACACACTTATTTAGTTAAAAGAGTTTCATTCCTCCCTTTCTCTGGAAACTCAGGGCCATGCATACAAAGGAATTTTTTTCTGGCTATACCTCATTAGGACAGAGGTGAATATCTGACCAAGCTAGTAATGTATGTATATTTTATTAATTTATCTATTATTTTTCGTTCTTTGCTTCCTGCCACTCGGCAGGATTCTGCTTTACACTCACTGCCTCTCGTCCTGGATGTGGCAGAGGAGAAAAATAAAATGAACTAAAATACTTCCCTTTTAACTTCTGTCTTTCAGAAGCTGAAACACTTGAGGGCATCTAGAGGATTTTTCGCAGGATATAAGATGACTAAATTCCTGATTGTAGATAACCAAAGAATCTTGGCCAGAAACACGAGGAAAGCTTTTCACCAACTAGAAAGAGATTTCCCTTGGTAGGAAAGCAGATAAGAGAGTGGGAGATTTGGAGCTTGCTAGACTCAGGAAGACCAGAGCAAATGGCTGCATGGTACATCCAGGAAAAAGTTGACCATCCCCAAGGACACCCATCTGGGCTCCATTAGCAGCCTGGCAAGATCTCACTCGACCCAATGATGGCCAGGGAAAAGACCATCCTGAGGGACACTGAGGGAGTGCCCGGGGCTAGGAGGTCACGGTCCACAGAACTGATCCCTCTCCTGACCCCATCCTTCCCTTGAACAGCCCTACCTATGGCCTCTGATCCCTGGGCATATGCCATATGTCCTTCCCATCAGAGCCAGTGATGACATCTCAGTTGCAGACAGCAGCTTGCCCAAGGAAAGCCAAGCTAAACTAAGCAGTATATTCATTCATTCATGCATGCATTTTTTCATCCTTTTTATTTAATTCATCAAATAAATGCTGTAAAGCATGTCAGGAAGCTGTAAGTGCTAAGAAGAAAAATAGGGGTTGAGCGATTGGAGAGAGAAGGGAGGTGGTGCTGAACATGGGCTAGTCTGGAAGGCGGCCTGGAGGAGGGGCCAGCAAGTGCTTTGCAGAGATTGTGAGCCTGAGCAGGGGGCCCATGGGGTAGGCAGCCAGGAGGCCAGTACCCGGGGAGAGGGTTGGCACAGGCAAGATTGTGAAGATGAACCCCTGGAGGAGTCCGTGAGTCTCCAGGACAGGAGTGCCACACGCAGTGTTTACAATAGACTTAAGTGACCAGATAAGAGGCACAAAGCTGATCTCCAGTCCCAGCGAAGGAAAGCAGGCTGAGGCATGCTGGCCTGGGCATGCT